CTTAAATGTTTTCACTTAAGATAAACCTATTTCAATCATTTAACAAATAGCTGCTTCCTCCACTCTCTGTTACAACACTTCTTTAACCTTCATAGCCTTTGCTCCCTGACGTGAGACTGATTTCCTCAGCAAATATTTATTTAGCACCAACTAGTGCCAGACAGTATACTAGACTGTTTATTTTCTTTCATAACACATTATGCCTGTTTTATTTACCAAGCATAATTCAATGCCTAGAACATAATAAGCCCTAAAGAATNCAGGAAAGATTGCTAAATTGTGAACTATTACAATCTTCTTGAAATTTTACTAATTTTTCTCATCAGTATCTAATCCTGGTAAAGATGGTGTTACAATCACCCACTAACCATCAGAGAACACAGAAATCCATCCCTTCTATTCATTACAACTAAACTTTGTGAGGCTTTAAAATTTACATCCCTGAGAGAATAAAAATGTTTCCCAAACTAAAAAATTTTAATTATGCAATTTTTCCCACTGTTAAAAGGACTCGAATCAATTACTCACACATGCACACATAAACACCAACCTTGGCCTAGTCAACACTAAGTAAATGATGTTATAGGACTTCAGGAAAATACAATACTTTCAGATTTCCAAAGTATTTTGCACAAATTTACTGAGTCTGACTGTCTAATACTACTCATAACAATTACAGTTTAATCTTCAAATTACCACATGCATTTTGCATGGTTACAAAATACCATCACAATGGGAAAATGTCTGCACCCAGTATGGTTCCCAGACAAAAGTAACCAGTAAGAGGCTGCTTTTATATCATATCCGAAGGTTTAAGTGTTTGTGTGTGGGCAAGAGGAGAGAGGGGAGCGGGGGTGAGGTCATTTTTCTGTATATCCATTCTATTTACAAAAGTGAAAAAGAGGGGGTACTCTCAAAAGCTAAGTTGTGACTACTTCCTTGGGGAAACTGAATTTAACCCATTTTAACATATGGTTAAAAAAAGGAAAAAAAAGGAGCCATGTTCTTAAAAATAAATGACAGTTTTACCTACAGTTCCCTTATATCAAAGTTGATCTAGGCATATAAATAACATAGGTTCTCAAGAGCAACTGGGTAATTTTCTCAACCCCTTTCCTCCATCCATACCTATCCTTACAAAGGCTTCTTCTAGGCCAGCGGTTCTCAACCTGTGGGTCGCGACCCCTTTGGGAGTCAAACGACCCTTTCACAGGGGTCGCCTAAGACCATCGAAAAACAAAAAGATATTTACATTACGATTCATAACAGGTGCAAAGTTACAGTTATAGAATAGCAACGGAAATAATTTTATGGTTGGGGGTCACCACAACATGAGGAACTGTATTAAGGGGTCTCGGCATTAGGAAGGTTGAGAACCGCTGCGCTAGGCTTTCTGACCACAGTTCTTCTAGCACAAAGACAAGGTTTGCACTAATAAACTGTTTTTATAGCCAAACTGGAATGACTCATTTTGACATACAAGCAGATCACAAACAAACAACAACAACAAAAAATGNCCTCGTTTTTGTTTAGGTCAGGTTCTACCATTAGATGGATTTGTTATGAACTTATAAAAAAATTAAGATCTTTAGATTTGAGAATTTCAGATAAAGGATTGTGAACTTACAATCATATATTTTTCCATAAGTAATTCAATACATTATTTCTCTAAAATTTGTTTACCTAGCTTGATTATTATATCTAGGCAGTTTTTGTGATTGTTGTTGCTTCCACTGAATTAATAGTTCTAACTCACAATTTAGGTCATTGGAAATGAAAGAACTATTATTTGCATAATTATGTTTTTCATTGTTATATACAGCTATTAGTTCATAAGCACTTATCACATTTTGTCCAGTCCACATTCGTGTGGCAAAAACAATGTTCATGTTTACCACACCATTTCCTCTTCCTGAGTACACAGGAAGATTACGTTTCATAGCGTCCACAGTAATTATGTTTGGGTAACATGACATTACCAGCCAATGGGGTATAGATGAAAGTGACAGAAGCCATTTTGAAGCCCAGCTCTTAAAAACATCCCACATGACCCTTCAGCTCATATTTTTTCCCCGTAGAAATCCTGGATATCATGTGTTCCAGATCATAGAGCACACAAGATGCAGGAAGACTGAACTAATTACACTGGGCTACAGTATGAGTAATCAGGAAACTTTTACTGTGTTAAGTCTCTGTGATTTCAGGGGTATATTTGTCACATTAATACAGCTCACAAAATAATTTTTCCCAAAATCAAAAATTGATCTCATGGCATGAGTTTTCAGTGAAAGAGCAAAAAACTCATCAAGCACTTCTCCTTTATATATTAATCTCACGTATAGCACAAGTTGACTTATATGCTATGCATCAATGATTTCATCCCACTGCAAACTGAAATGTTAGTTAAGAAGTACTAGTGATAGTGTATGTCAATGATACTAAGCAAAATCCAGCGGTGTCCCTTGATGAAGACATTTTGTTAATAGCTTGTTCAGCTTTTTTTCTGAGTTTCTCACCTCAAGTTTCCATAGCATCTTCCAGCTTTTCTGCCGCAGGGTTTTCTCCAGAGCACTAGGATCTTGCTCAGCCTCACAGCCAAAGCCCAAAAGTGCAGGGGAGTTCATACCCCCTGGAGCAACTCTCAACTGTAGGATGGTAAGTCAGTGGATGAAAGTCTAAATCTCCTGTTACTTGGAGGGAAAATTCTGAGGTGTATTCTATATGTTTATTAGACGGATCCCCAGATGGACTGAGTTCTGCTTTCCAGAATAAAGCCAGATCAATGACATACCTTTTGCTGGCTTTCCTTCAGGACCTACTAACCTCCTCACTCTTTCTGTATCCACACTCTGGCTGCATGGGATCACCTTCCAAATGAACAAACTGTTTTGCGGGGGAACCAAACTAAGTCAATATTTCTGTTGTATTCCCAACACCTACAGCAATATTTGGCCTATGTAAGTGCTCAATAAATATTCTGAATTAGATAACGGAATACTAGTCAGCCATAAAGAAGGATATTCTGCCATTTGCAATAACATGGATGGACTGTGAGGGCATTGTGCTAAGTGAAATAAGTCAGACAAAGACAGTTACCGTATGATCTCACTTGTATGTGGTACCTTAAAGAAAAAGGCAGACTTGCTGTGAGGAAGCTCTGCTAAGCCTTGAAAGTAGTGTTATTACAGGGCAGACTGGGGTTTTGGAGATAATTCATGTCACCATCAGCAGGTGGCTATTCGCTTTTTGAGTAATAGCTCCTGGCTTGCCTCTAAAACCAAATATCTTTTTATGGAGTCAGGTAATTATGCAGCCTGGACTGCCTTTCATGAACAACCCATAAAACTAGGTTTACACAGACACTCCAAGAAGTGGCATATAAAAGAACAGCGTTTACGGGCCACAGGATAAAA